TATAGCTAAAGTGGCAATGCACTGGCCTAGCATGCACAAGGCCTGGGGTTTCATCCCTGGCTCTCTAAGAAGATACATAGATGAATAAAACTGCTCTTATCCCCTGAGAGCCTGCTCAGTGCTTGGCAGCATTGACTTTATGACTACATTGTGTCTGGGAGATGCTTTTATTCCCCTTATGCAGAATGGGGAATTGAGACTCAGAGAGGTTAATAACTCCCCTGAGGCTGCACTGCTGTCAAGTGGGGAAGACTCAAACTTAGTCTTTCAGGTTCTAGTTCTACAGTTCAGGTGCTTTACAGTACATTGTGCCCAAGACCAAACAATATCTGCCTGCTGAGTTCACACAGCTCTAGACCTGCTTTCTGAAGATGTCAACTGTTACTTCTCAAGACTTCTGAGACTCCCTTTTTCTAGTAGCTTGTCTATTTACTGCAAGCTGTGAAACAGTTCTGCCAAATTTGTCATAAGTAGGAGTTATGAAGTGCCAAGTGACAACCTGAAAGACTCTCTGGGGGGACAGGCACAGAGGCCAAGTATGACACTTTATGCCATACTATCAGGCATCCATCTGGTAGAGGGGCTTACATCTTCAATCTGTGCTTTCAAGCTGCCACAGAACTTACCATTTAGCCTCCCTGTCTTTTCAGAGTATCATTAGCAATCAGAGACGCACTGAGCTGAACCATCTTGAAGAACCATCACATTCATGTCACAGGGAGAGAATGAATTGATTGAGGGTCCATAGACTCCCCTCCCCAGGGCCAAATGCACAGGCTCAGGAATTTGCCTATTGGCAATTTACAGGCCCGCATATTTTAGAGCTGGCATATGTTATAGATGGAGATAAATTAGTGGTTCTAAGTGAGGTCTGGATTTTGGCCCCCAGGAGGCATGTGGCAATGTCTGAAGTCATTTTTTGTTATTTTGACCAGAGGGAATGTCACTACTGGTATCTAAGCGTATATGTCAGAGACAAATTTCTGCTAAACACCCTTGTGTTCCAGTTTCCCAAAAAAGAGTTATCCAGCCCCAAATGCCAATAAACCTGGGGTTGAAAGCCCCAGATTAAATCAGCTTAAGGTATGAAAGAGATCTGTCTAAGGAAATCGAGTTTACCCCTAAAAAAACTGAGCATACCAAAGCATTGTATGCATCTCCCCAGACATAAAAAGGACTTGTAGCTGCTTTCCTGGGTATTCCAGGTAGTTCTATAACAATGAAGAGAGACACTTTGAGTCTGAGGCATTCTCTCTCAGAACGGTCCCTGGAGAATGGGCTAGTTTGGTCAAGGTGGTCCTCCACAATTAACAATGCCCAGGCTCCCTCAAAAGGCAGGGAATCAAAAGTTTGCCAAGGTACTTCCTTCGCTGTGGGAACTTTCTATCAGGATGTACTATCCAAACAAATCCTCGCCCCTACCTGGCAGGAGGGTTCTTATTCATGAACATTTCAATGGCACGTTCATCCTCAGGGTCCACAACCACCTCTGCATGGTGGTCTACCCCTGTCATTTTGGCTGCCTTCTCCAGGGTGGGCCACTCCTCATCCTCATCATCTGATCCATCCTGGGGCACTCCTGGCCCTAGAAGAGGGAGATGAAATCAATGAGCATGGCAAGGAGTGGGTGAGGGACTGAGAATCAATGTTATATTAGCCATGTAGTACCGGCCTCATGTGCTTGTGATATAGATGTGTGCAAGAAAACAGATGAGGCACACACTATCTTCCTGTCCCCGGGGGCTTGTGATGTTGCTTAAGAAACAAAATGTAATATATGAAACAAAGAGAAAGCAATGTCAATAAATTATTATCAATAAATCATCCTAGGTTTTGAAGCAGGACCTGTTCTACACCACACATGTCACCTCACAAATCATGACAACCTCAAGATGCAGGTGTTATTATACCATTTCAAATGAGCATACTTAATCACAGAATAGCTAGGTGATGTGCCCATGGCAGGCAGGCAGAGTTTTCACTGCGTTCTTCACCACTATGCTCCACACACACAGAGTAGGGCTGGATTACTCATCAAATCATACTGGTATAGAGACAATATATACCAGACAATATACAGGCACTTAGAAGCACCTGGGTCATGAGGGTACTAACCTCATCAGTGGAGCTATTGGGGGCAGGGCCCAGTTGGCAGAGGTAGGTCACTGGGGGCATGCTTTTGAAAGGTATACCTTGTCCCTGGCCCCTTCTCTCTCAACTCTCCGCTTCTGGTTGCCATGAGGTGAGTAGCTTTCCTTCTGCCATGATGTTCTGCTTCACTACAGGCCCAGAACAATGGAGCCAGCTGACCCCGGAGAGAAACCTCTGAACATGAGCCAAAGGAAATCTTTCCTCTTTCTTGTTTTTCTTCTCAGGTATTTTGCTACAGCAATGGAAAGGTGATTAACAAAGGGAACAACAGAGTGTGTTCCACACCCAGGTAAAAATTCTGGAAAAAGCACTTAGTTATTAGAATGTCTGTTGGGCCGTAGCAAGAAATAGGGCTAGATGGCAAAGGCAAGCTAGCCTGGAGAGCCCTGGAGGCCAGGTGGTGGAGTTCAGATTCCAACTGAGCAACCACCTGAATAACCAATTTTTTGAAAGGGTACATCTGGCTGAGTAGCTGGAGCAGATTCTATCAATCCAAGTGAGGTAAAATGCCACACTTTACAGATCACTTAGAAGAGAGATGGGCTGGGGGTGTAGTTCAATAGAACATGTGCTCAGCATGAGCGAGGTTCTGGGTTCAATGTCCAGCACTGGGGAGAAAACAAACAAACAAGGACGATAGAGATAATGTGTGACAAAAGCTAAATTGGAGAGGGGATTATGACAGACATTGTGTCTACATACTAACAACTCCAAAATCTGTATTTATAGGTAGATATATGCATGCTTAGCTCCAGTGAACAATGAAGCCTACGCAGGTGGCACACACAAGACAGGACTAACGGGAAAGCAGAAGAGGCAAGACTGGCACTGGAAGCAGGCCACATAGGACATTGAAGACCTCTAACTGCTGAGTGGACTGTAGAGATTACAGAACACTAATTAGGACACTGTTGCAATAATCCAGGTGTGAGATTGTGGTAGTTCGAACAGGATGGTGGTGAAAAGTGGTCAGATTCTGGATGGATGTTGAAGATACAGCCATCAGAATTTCCAGACAGATCAGATACAGAGAGAGAAAGAAAGAAGTCCAAGGTTTCTGCCTTGAGCAAATGAAAAGCTATCATGCTAACAGACACAAGGAAGACAGTAGGAGGAGCAGGTTTGGGGACAAGCTGAGGTTCTGTTTAGGTATGTTAAATTTGAAATACATATTAGGAGACTTCAAATTAGAGATGCCAAGTAGGCAGCTGAATCTAAGAATCTGGGTTTCATGGACAAGAGCAGGCATGGAATATAAGGTTGGGAAGAGTCATTAAACAGATAGTATTTAAATCATGAAGCTTCATGATCTCAACAGAAGAGAAAATGTATCTGAAGAGAAGGACTAATGACTGAATTTTGTGGCACTTCATAACAAGTTGGAGACAAGAGTCAGTTAAAAATACTTAAGTCAGGTGGTAGTTAAACAAGTGTTTGATGTTTTAGAAACCAAGTACAGAAACTGTAGTCAAGAGGCAATATTTGATTGGGCCAAACACTGATTTTAGGATAAATAAATAAGATTGGGAGGTTCAAGCAACAGGGAGATCAACACTCCTTCCACAATGAGAAAAATATCAAAACATCTTTCAGTGCATCTCTGCCCCTCGCTGGCCTCTAAACAGTATTCCCCCCCACTTGATGGGAATATACCCCATAGCTTTTTAGTTTTCAGCTTGAAGGTCATACAATCTGGAAAGCCTGATCTCTTAAGACGAATGCTATTTTTACCAGGGATAGCATAATTTACTATGGAATACATTATTCTGATCATGTTTCTCCTGAGTTCTCTTCAGGTCCTAAAGTCAGATACATGTCTATTTTTATTTCTGTATCCAAACTACCCAAACTGCAAGCATAGTGTGAAGCACTATGGAGGCATCTTAATAAACACTTGCAAAATCAATGGCTAGATGCTAGGAGAACTTAGTGGAGTGAGCGATCACTTCCTGTTGGCCTAACTTCGGTGTTCTTGGAAGGGTGTGTCTGAAACCAAGAGTGGTCGTGGAGTGCTCTAGCCAGGACTAGGTCTTTCGTTCCAGCATCGTTACAACAGTGTAATGTGAACCCCCTTTTTAATTCCAACCTATTCCCCTTTTGGACTACTTTTAACGGCCACCTAACCCCATCTAGCCACTCTCTTGTTCTCACCCCACCCACTGACACTCACCCAGCCGCGTGGCACGCTCCGGCGGCTTTGCAGGCCTGTTCCCAGTCCCATGCTCGGCCTCGAGCTCCTCCTGTTGCTGCCGCGCTTGCTGCAAAATCCGTCGGCTCAGCCGGGGCCCCACGTACTCTTCCTCCTCTTCAGTTCCGCGACCCCGCCGCTTTTCTCGGGCCCCTGCCCGCACGGAGTCCTCAGCGAGAATCTGGTCGGCCAGCGGCGCATGCTTTTCCTTACTTCCAACCCCACGGGTGGCCTTGAATTTAGGCATTTTCCTCGAAAAAGTTCCTGAGAGAGTTCTCACGTGGGGATGGCAAAAAGCTCAGAGTGCGCATGTGCGGTGAACTCCCAGTGCCCTAGAGACCAGGCAGAGATCACAGCGACCCCGAGTGTTCGGAGGCCAGAAGTGCCACCAGCGCCACACCTACATTCAAACAGCCCCCGGATCCTGGAGCGGGACACCCTGGATCCACAGATAAACTTATTGTCTTTAATATCGGTTTATCTAAGTGGTGGCGGCCTAAGCCACACTTTCCAAGCTTCAGGGATCTAAGGCCTGGAAGTCCTGCCAAAGGGGAATTTCCGGTGCTGCAAGCGTGGGGGCGGGAGCCGGGCGAATGACATCACTGGAAACGTCATCGAGGGAGTGCTCAGACACATCCCCTTGCCTGTGGACGCGTCGCCTCGGCGCCGGGTTTTTACGTATTTCCGGAGCCCCTTCCGCGACCGCAGCTTGCGTTGGTCCTCCAGTTCTTGTGGACGGCAGCAGAGCTCTCCGCTAGACTGATCGTGGCACCTCCAGGCCCGCCGCCATGGGAGTGACTTGGTAGGACTACCAGGGCTTTTGTGGGGCGAGGCTAGGGGTCCTGAAGGGCCCTCAGAGCCTGGAGTAACCGGGGAGAAGGATCTGGACCAAGGTCCGCCGACTCCCGGGAGCTGCGCAAGCTGCCCTCGAGTGGTGTGAATAAAGAGGACACTGAAAGGGCCGTGGGTTCTCCGGCCTTGTTTCCTCAGTGATGCTGCCCTTCATCCTGGCAGGTGGCAGGGCAGAGGTTATGTACCTTCTCTCCTTTTTCTTGGTACCTGTTTCTACACATTGGGCCTTAGTACTGTCAGGAGTGGGCTTTCAGGGTTGGAAATAAGATTTCCGGACTAGGACAAAACTGCAGACAACGCTTGGAGGGGACAGCATTTTTTATTTTTTGCACCTCCGTAGAATCAGCAAATACAGTTAGATCAGCCGATTTTGACTTGGCCATTTTAAGATCTTGGGTCCAGAGAGAAAAAAGAAGCCATTGGCAATTAGGAAATCGGGATTCCAGGCACTTCACCTATTCAGGACCTGTTTCCTACAGTATTAATTACATGGTTGATCTAGATTCTTTGAACTCTTTGTCTCTAACATATTATCTCAGTTGGAAAAGCCAGGTGGCAGGAAAGGTATGGGTTCAATGCTCTTACGGGCGTTAGTCCCAAGTGCAAGGTCTCAGAGGACTTCTCCTTCTCCCCCACCCCCGCTTTTTTTTTTTTTTTTTTTTTAAATCTTGTTAGGCTGAATATCTTTCCAGTTAGCCCTGGAAACCAGGATATCTGAAGTCAGGGCTTTAGACTTTTTCTTTGAAAGCGTGCCTGTGGGAAATGCTTTTCTTTATGGTGGCCCAGGCTCTAATAGATTTCTCGGTGATTGCCACAGATTTTTTTTTTTTCTCCTCACAGTTGACATCACAATCCTCCTCCCTGTCCTCTCGTGTAAGGAAGTGTGTGAGGGGTGGAAATGGGAAGGCCACAGTGCAGAGGCTTGGAACCTCAGGGAAAGGGCTCTCTTTCTGTTGGCTCTACCCTTCAAACTTTTTGGAGTCCCAGAATTTCTGTTCCTTGCTTCATCAATTTAAGGATCCTCTTATATTTCAAAATAAGTCAGGTCATCAGCATTGCTTCTCAGTACTATTTCTGACACAGTAGTGGCAATTTTTAGTAACAGTTGGACTCTGCCTTAATAGATTCATTGAGTTGATAATAAGGTAATGTAGTCTCCCAGAATTCAATCATGTGTGACTTTATAATTGTTATATAGCTAAGAACTACTTGTGCTATCATTTATTTATGTATGTTTTTATGGGCAATGAAGTCTACCACTGAGCTATATATCCCCAACCGTTTTAAACATTTGAGGCAAGGGGGATGGGGTTGTGGAAAAGTGGTAGAGTGCTTGCCTAGCATGTGCAAGGCACTGGGTTTGATCCTAAGCACCACATAAAAATAAATAAATAAAATAAAGGTATTGTGTCAAAATACAACATATATGTTTGTGTCTATATATATATATATAGAGAGAGAGAGAGAGCCCAAACATACACACACACACACGTATATATATATATATATATATATATACACACACACACGTACATACATACATACACACAAACACATATATTTAAAAATATTTGAGGGAGGGTCTTGCTAAATTTCCCAGGTTGGCCTCAAACTGTAATCCTCCAGCTTTGGCCTCCTGCTGGGATTATAGGTATGCATCAGCACATCCAGCTTTGTACTATTATTTACTAATATTAAAAGAAATTGGACCCTTTTCCTTAAAAATATTTTAGCAGGCAACCACATCCCTAGACAGGCAGTCTAGTCTAGTGACTGAGAACATGGACATGGAGCCAGGTTGCTTGGCTTTTGAAACAGGGTCTTGCTAAATTACTGAGGCTGGCCTCAAACTTGGGATTCTCCTGTCAGGCATGCACCACAGTGCCTGGCTAGGTTTCCTGGCTTTGAATCTTGGCTACATCTGCATTTACTGAGTGACTTTATACAAGTTATTAATTTCTTTGTACTTTAGTTTCCTCATTTATAATAAATTGATAAATGACAGCAACTTTCTCAGGTGCAGTGGTACACACCTGGTAATCCCAACAACTGAAGATACTGAAGCAGGAGGATCACAAGTCTGAGTCTAGCCTTGGCAATTTAGCAAGATTATGTCTCAAAATAGAAAAACATTGAGAAAGGATTGGGGATATTGCTTAGTGGTAAAGTCCTCAGTACCCCCTCCCCCCGGCCCCAGAAAAAAAAAAAGGCAAAACCTTTCATAGGGCTGTTGGGAGGATTCAAAGAGTTAAGTCATTGAAAGCCCCTTTGGACACTGCTTGGGACATAGTTGGTGCTGGGCAGATGTTACCTATCACTGAAAGCCATACCACAGGAGGAAATTTGGAAGTAACATTTTTTGGTCATTGTTTTGATTAAATTCTGTAAATACCATTGCCTCTCACTCCCCAAAATTATAAACCCAAGGCATGCTTTCTTTTTGTTCCCAGGACTGTCAGAGGGAACTTTCCATGATCCCAGCAGTGTTCTTTATCAGCACACTGTCTGCCAGCTGCTTGTGACTTGTGGCTGCAGGACTAGGCAGCTCCAATTCAGAGTTGGTAGAAGTATGCTCACCTAAAACTTCAATTTCTCTTTCGTATAGTTAGAATTGAAAGAGTTGTAAGGAATTTCCTTTCTCTTTGTGTGAGTTAGTGTTGTTGAATGCTCAGTTTGTGTGTCATTTAGAATCTTCACATAAACATGGGCACACAAGCCATGCTCGGGAAATGCTGGTGTGAGTCCTGAGACCTGTGCTCTATTCTCAGATGAGTTATGAGGGACTCTGGGCCTCTGTTTCCTCATCTCTAAGGTGTGGTTAACATAGGTGTTCTCTAAGGTAACTCTTATTCCTGCTCAGCTGTCCTTTGGTGGGAGAATGGCTCAGCCAGTGCATTTCTGGATGCTGATGACTTGTTACTCTTCTTTCCAGTGTGTCCCAGATGCCTGTGGCTGAGGGCAAGAGTGTGCAGCAGACAGTGGAGCTCCTCACCCGAAAATTGGAGACACTTGGGGCAGAGAAGCAAGGAACATTTTGTGTGGACTGTGAGACTTACCACACTGCTGCCTCTACCCTTGGCAGCCAAGGTTAGTGAGATGGAAGTGCCTGGTGGGTGGAAACTGGCTTCTTCTTTTATTCAGTCGTGGGGTTTGTAATCAGGGCTTCCAGCATGCTAGGCAAGTGTTCTACACTGAACTATATCCCTAACCCTTTTTAAAATTTAATTTTATTGGGGCCGGGGCTATCACTCAGTGGCAGAGCATTTGCTTAGCATGTGTGAGGCACTTTGTTTGATCCTTAGCACCACATAAAAATAAACAAATAAAATATAGGCATTTTGTCCATCTATGACTACAAAATTTTTTAAAAATTTAATATTATTTATTTATTTTATGGTACTGAGGATTGAACTCAGGCACATTCTACCACTGAGTTAATATTCCTAGCCCTTTTTTTAAAAACATTTTTTTAAGTATTTTATTTTATTTTTTTTTAGGTGTAAATGGACACAATACCTTTCCTTTATTGATTGATTGATTGATTGGCTTTTGACCAAGGCATTTATATTTCCCAAAGTACACCCCCAGTTTACAGAGTCCCACATTTAAATTAGAAATCCTCGCATCTTCCATTCCCAAGGAAAGGAGAAATGGTATCAGGAGGACCAGAACATGTGAAGCTCTACTCTACTGCAGGCCAGGGGCTGGCCAGAGACAAGCCAGGAGGTGTCTGCACTGGCTTCAGAATAGCATCGTGATGAGGAAGCAGTCCCTTCTTTCCCTGGGCTCCAGTCAGTGAGAAGAGGTCCCCCACTTTGCCTGTGAGGCTGCTACCCAAGGTCCAGAGGCCTCAGCCTCCTGCCTGCAGTTTGCACCTGGGAAGACCCTCCCAAACCACCAGCTTCTCCAGTGTGGCAAGGGGGGCGTCTCTCTCTCTCTCTCCAGGGTTCTGCCCCCATCCCAGGCTCTGGATGAGGGACACAGATGGGATGGGGGTGAGGTATCTCAGAAGCTGTGGGCACAGAGGGCACAGCAGGGAGCAGGGCAGGAGTAGCAGGCCACAGCATAGTGAGTGTCTGTTTCCCAGCAGGAGGAAGACATCCTGCAGGAGGGACTCAGCCTCCCACGCAGGGCCCTCAGCATCCAACACAGTGCTGACCCCTGTGGTTGCTCAACGAACATTAATTTACAGGGTAAACAAAAGGAACAAAACCTCCAAAGGCGGGAAAAGCAGAGGAATAAAAGCTGACCCCCAGGGAGCCCTCTACAGACCCCCAGAGAACCAGTGTGACCAATGCCAGCTTCCTACGGGGTGGCTGGCAGAGGAGAGGGCACAGCCCAGGGTGGCACAGGGAAGACCAGGTGGGTGGGGGAATGACACATGGTCCAGCACGTGCTGCTGCAGGCCTCTGCACACCTGTGTGTGTGGCCGGGAGCATGCCCAGTCTCAGTGGGGGCAGGAAAAGGCCAAGGGCAGGGTCAGAGCAAAAGGAGGCAGGAAAGAGTTTCAAGACTCAAGGAGATATGATTACACACAGGATGGGAAAAGGGCTAAGAAATGGTAACTAGTGTATCAGAGCCATGGGGAAACAAGACGGGTGACTGTGTAGTGTGTCTTCGGAGAAATAAGGCATGAGGTTAGTCTGAATATTGTGTCCTTTGGAGAAAAATGGCAGCTGGATAGCCCATGTGGCTTTGGAGGGATAAGGACGTGGGGTGGTCTGCGTATTGTGTCCATTAGAAAAAGCAGCAGGAAGATTTGGTGTTGTGTTGCTTGAGTTCTAAGGCAGCATGATGACTTGGGAATCGTGTCCATGAGAGAAATAAGGCTGCAGGGTAGTCTGTGTACCGCATTCTTTGAAGAACAGGCAAACCTGTCAGAGCAAGACTCATCTGTTGGGGGAAGGCTCACATGGAGGCCCCAATGCAGCTAGAGGGTGGGAGCCCCCAGGCAGGGGCAGCAGCTCCTGGTCAGGCTATTTCTTGTCCATCATCTTCTTTGCTCTCAGAGTGTTTCAGAGGTCGTTGGGCTGTCTTGGATCCTTCCCCATCCCCATCCTGGTCCTCAGCTCCTACATTTTCCTCTTTACAGCTCTGTTTGATCTTTCTCCAGCACACGAAGGCCAGGGCCACCAGCAGTGCAATGAGACAGAGAGCCCCACAGTCACCCACAGGGCCTCAGGGGGGGATTTCATGGGCTGTCCTGTGATGGTGACAGAGCCATGTGCGTCCTGCTGCAGCACGGGGTTGCGCACCAAGCAGCTGTAGGTGCCATCAGCGCCCAGCACCACCCTCAGCACGCTGCGCACGTCGAACAAGCCTTGCTCGTTGGCCATCTGCCACGTGGTCACGTTGCCAGTCAAGGGTGCACCCTGCCCATCCTGCCGGAACACCTCGGCCTCAGGGTAGCCCTGGTGACTGTCCCCAGGTCCTTGCTGGGCTCCAGGGTCACGCTGGGTTTTGAATAGGGGGCTGCCACTAGCAGGCTGACAGCAGCGCTGCCGAAGTCCCGAATGCTCACGAAGCAGGTGAAGCTGCTTTCATTAGCCACACGCACGCCTTGCAGCCTCAGGAACCCGTTGCTCTGTGCCAGCAGGTCTGGGAAGAGCATGGTGCGGTTGGCATAGGCACTGCCCTGGTCCCAGCCCTCAGCAAAGCTGTGCAGCAGCTGATTGGTGTCCGTCAGCTGCCAGATGAGGTTGAGCTGTACTAGGCTGAAGCCAGGCTCAGGTGAGAAGGAGCAGTGCAGGGTGGCATCATTGCCCACCAGGGCCACCACTGGGTCTTCAGGGACCTGGACCTCCACAGCTCCTGTGAGGCAGAAGCACAGTACCCCCAGGGCTGTGCCCACATGTACACCCATGCCAGGGCTGACCGGTCTGTGCAGCATCTTCCCGTGAGGCGGTCGACAGCTGGGCTCTCCGTGGAGGAAGACTGCCCTGCCCCTGCTGCGCTGACTCCCGGGACTCGGGGGATGCGGTGGAGCGCAGCCGAGTTGCCGCAGCCGCTGTGAGGCCCGGCCCTAATCTCCTTTATTTTTATGTGGTGCTGAGGATTAAACCAGCACCTCACATGTGCTAGGCTAGTGCTCCACTGCTGAGCTCAATCCCAGCCCCTCCAGCCCTTTATATTTCTTATTTAGAGACAGGGTCTCACCAAGTTGCCAAGTCTGGCCCAGAATTTGCTATCTCCTGCTTCAACTCTCCCTGAATTTCTATAATTACCAGCATGCCTCACCATGTTGGGCTCTAAGGGTGATATTCTTTTATATATATATATATATATTTTTTTTTTTTTCATTTCTAGATGGACACAATGCCTTTATTTTATTTATTTTTATGGGGTGCCGAGGATTGAACCCATTGCCTCACACATGCTAGGCAAATGCTCTACCACTGAGCCACAATCTCAGGCCCCCAGGGTGGTATTCTTGAACATGTGGGAGAATGTTTCTGAATTCATTAATTCTTTGTTTGTTTTTTTGTGGTGCTGGGGATTGATCCCAGGGCCTTGTGCATGCAAGGCAAGCACTCTACCAACTGAGCTATATTCCCAGCCCTAAATTCATAAATTCTTGATCCTTTATCTCTTAGACTGGGACTGTTTTAATTTTTCTGTAGACTGAACTTTTTTAAAGCTTCGTGAGGTAAAATTAACATACACACAATTGAACACATTTAATGTGTGTATCTTAATGAATTTGGACACATACATACACCTGCACCAGAACCAACATATTAAATATATCTATCACTTCCAAAAATTTCCATGTGACTTTTTTTTTTTTTGTGTGTGTGTGTGTGTGTGTGTGTGTTATCTGCACTCTTAATATAGTGCTTCTCAGAGGATTGGTTGTTAAGGAACCACATCAAGTAACAAATAATTTTCTTATACATTTCTTGTTAAATAAAGGTACACATTTTTGGCCTGCTTATTAGTTGACTGGTATTTTGGACCTCATAATCTACATTTTTTTTTTCATAGAAATTTATTCGTTGCTCAAAACATTACATTGATCTTGTTTTTTTTTTTTTTTTTTCATCAGAAATTTGTTAGTTGCTCAAAACATTACATTGATCTTGCATAACCTACATTTTAACAAGCTTCTCATTTGGGAGATTGGATGGATCTTGGATCATCTGATCCTTATGCAATCAGAAGTCTGAGAGACTTTGTTTTAGACTCAGGAGTCTTTGTATATTGTTTATTTAGAGCTTTAGAGTTTGTACAGCCTTCTATATAATCAGTGACCTTGACTACCTCTATACCATAACCTTGACCAGTGAATCAGTTTTTGTATTTTTAGTGTATAAGGTGGTGAGATGGGGTGTGGATGGTGTGGTGATGGTAGGGAAGGAACATGATCTTTGAATATGAGTTAACCTTGGCTCTATAATAACTTGACCCCGGACAGTTTCATCATACAGAGGTTATGATCATTGAGCCACAAGTCACAATTCTTAAATCTTGGCTCTTTCACAAACTAACAGTTCAACTGTAGGTAAGTTCCACAATCTATGTGGAACTTTTTGTAGGACCCTTCTACTTACCTTTGGTCAGTGAAAGGCACTGGGGAAGACCAGAGGATGGGAGAAAGGGAAAATACAACATTCTCTATGCTTTGGGCAGTGTCTTTAACTTTGGTGGCATCTCCTCCTTGATTCTGGCTCCTGCTAGGCAGATCTCATTCCTGGCTCTGATAAAAGCACATTTCTTTCTCCTTCTAGCCCTAGGGGAAGTAGGGGGTCCTACTTCATCTGTGGGTTGCTTCATCTTCCTGTTTGGTTTTTCCAGTCTTCCATCTCCTTATTTGTTCCCTGTATAAGCTCCCTGTACTGATACTGTCTGGCATGGACTGTGTTTTTAGATTTTCCTAAATCCAGTTCTTTCATGTAGAAAATGAACATAAGTAGTATTTATCTCCTGGTGTTGTGCTAATTAATTACATAAGTTATTACACGTTAGAACTGAGGTTCTCATGTAATATTTAATAAATGGTAGCTGAGAACTGTACTTACTGAGTTGCATCTTTGATAAAATTACAGTGCTACCATTTGTTTTGCTTTCACCAGAAAGAACCAAAGAATCCAGGGATAATGACAATGAATGCATTTGGAAAAGAAAACATTTGTATATGGATAGAAGATGGCATGTTACCGCTAGGGAAACTACTCTCTAGGGAAACTATCTCTTGATCAGACCCTTGCTTTTAATGTACAATGTAGTTGGGGAGACAGAACACAGTGGTGGCAAGCAGTGGGGATAGAATGAAGAGCAATAAACTTGGAGTTCCAGTTCTGTTGCTTTTTGCCTCTGTACCTTGAGATCTGTGATTGTCACATTGGCCAGCATTAGCCTCATCTGGGGAGTTTGTTAACTTGCAGATTGGTGGGTCTCATCCCAGGATTTCTGATTAGAAGGCAAGGGTGACAAGAATCTGCATTTCTAACAAGTTCCTAGGTAATTCTGCTGCTATTGCCGCTGCTGATCTGACACCTTAATTGCATTTTCTTTATCCATAAAAGGGGGAATGAATCATGCTGGTTCAGCTTGCTTCACATGGTTGTGCAGATATAAAAAGACTTTGTTGTGATTAAAAAAAAAATAGTGTTGTCTGTAATAACCACATGTTTCTTCCTCATTTAAAAAAGTCATGAATCCAGCTAGGCCTGGTGACATATGCCTGTATCCCCAGTGACTTTGGAGTCTAAGCAGGAGAATCACAAGTTTAGGCCAGCCTTAGCAACTTAGAGAGGCTATAAGCATCTTAGAGAAACTGATAAAAAATAAAAAGGACTGAGGTGTGGCTCATGGTAAAGGGCCCCTGCATTCAATCCCAGTACCTAAATAAATAAGTAAAGTCATGAACTGGGCTCAGTGGTGCATACCTGTAGCTCCAGCTATTTGAGAAGTCAAGGTGTGAGGATCATTTGAACCTAAGAGTTCAGGTGCATCCCAGGCAATATAGTGAGTCCCTGTCTCAAAAAATTTATCCAAGTTTTATAAATTTATAAAATTTATACATACATACATACATACATACCTCTGGATGGAACCCAGAGGCACTTAACCACTCAGCCACATCCCCAGACCTTTTTATTTGGAGATAGGGTCTTGCTAAATTGCTTAGGGCCTCGCTAGGTTGCTGAGGCTGGCTTTGAATTTGTGATCCTCCTGCCTCAGCCTTCTTGAGCTGCTGGGATTATAGGTGTGCACCGCTGCGCCCAGCCACCTTAGATGCTTTTAAAATATTTCTAAGACAGTAACAACACGTGTAGACTTAGTATGAATTGAATGTGTAATTACAGTGAGTTCATGAGAATAAGAAGAGCAGCTTTGGGTGGCTTTTTTATAGAGGATATGTTTTTGCTGTGCTGGGGATGGAATCCAAGGGCCTTCTGCAGGGGTGGCCAGCACTCTGCCACTGAGTTACATCTCCAGCTGCCTAGTTACGATGTTTTGAATGGTTTTAAAACTGTGAATTGGCAGCTAGTGGGCAGGAGGAATGTGGGGTGGAGGTTCTCTGCAGAGCCTGCTGTGCTCAGGAGGTGGCAGTAGAGTGGAGGCCTATGTAGTACAGGGAAGTCACACTGGCCCCTGTTCTCCTTGGCCTGCCTGCCATCTTCTCCCTTTCCATTGCTGCACTCTAATCCTTGTCTAGCATGTCCTCTTCATGCTCTTTGGGGCAGAATCTCATGCTTTTTTCATTTAAGACACTTCAAATCCTTCTTCAAAGTGTGTGTGTGTGTGTGTGTGTGTGTGTGTGTGTGTGTTGGGGGGCTCTTTCCCACTTTTTTTTTTTTTATTGGTTGTTCAAAACATTACAAAGCTCTTGACATATCATATTTCATACATTAGATTCAAGTGGGTTAATGAACTCCCATTTTTACCTCAAATACAGATTGCAGAATCACATCGGCCCCACTTTGATCTCTTCCTAAAGTTATTCCTCCCTTCCAAAAGCCAGATTATCACTTTTGTTGTCTTCGATGTTCTTTTTAAAATTTTCTACCTGTCTTCCTTGTGAGATTGTCAGCTTCTTGAAAGTCAGGGGCTAAACCCTCTACTCAGTGTGTCCATTAACTCTTATGGTGTATTAAAGAGGAATCCACGTGCTCGCTTCGGCAGCACATATACTAATATTAAAGAGGAATCTTGCCTTCCCCTTTTTGCCTTCCTCCATTTTCTACTTAACCAAATAAATGTAGTTTTCCCTCCTTGCAGCAAACCTAAGAAATTCATTTAAAAAGAAAACTTGCCGGTTGTGGTGGCTCACGCTTGTAATACTAGCGGCTAAGGAGGCTGAGGCGGAAGGATCACGAGTTCAAAGCCAGCCTCAGCAAAATCGAGGCACTAAGCAACTCAGTGAGATCCTGTTTCTAAAATAAAATACAAAATAGGGCTAGGAATATGGCTCAGTGGTTGAGTGTCCCTGAGTTCAATCCCCAGGACAAAAAAAAAAAAAAGACGGAAAACTCATTTCTCAGAGACTAGAAGGGATGAGGTAGGGTTTTAAACTAGATCTTCTGAGCCCAGACCCTGAATTCTCTATGCTATAATGGGATGCTTGCTTCCTAAGTTAGCTAGACTTCTTAAAATTCTCTAAGGGCTCACCCTTGCCTTCAGGATGAAGTCCCAGGTTCTTGAGGCATGGCAGGCAAGACTGATCACAGCTTGTCTCTGGGCTATCTTTCCAGCCTTGTACTCACTTCTTTTTCCTGCTTCTTTGGACCTATATTCTTGATGTCAAAGGGGGAAAAAGTCAAGGTAGTTAAGGGACAGAAGAAATGAGTAGTTGCTTCATTTGACATGCCTGAATGTTGTTATTTATTTTGCTTATTATATAGTATAATCATAATATACAAAAGATTGTGTGAAGTTTCTGCTGAATCAGTCATCAAAATTAAGCATCCATCTGTGAGCTCACCATGCACCTTAACATTTAAACTATTAACACTCTCAGAGCTCCCTTTGTGTCCCTCACTCTCTTCTGTAGAAAGGGGTAGGCTGTAGCCGATGGTGCCTGGCCTTTTGTTCCTCTGCTTCCCTCTATGGAAAAATCTGTCAGGGAACTCCCTTCCCCTCTCAGACTGCCAGAGTAGCGCCAGATTGCTGTCTGGCCTTTTCCCATGTACCTGACCATGCTGGGGTGTGCCAGTGCAAGTCCTGATGATGAGTAGGATGTCTGTCCCTTACAGGTCAGGCCGGGAAGCTGATGTATGTGATGCACAACTCCGAGTATCCACTGAGCTGTTTTGCCCTCTTTGAGAATGGCCCTTGCCTTATTGCTGACACCAACTTTGATGTGCTCATGGTGAAGCTCAAGGGTTTTTTCCAGAGTGCCAAGGCCAGCAAGATTGAGACCCGGGGCACCCGTTACCAGTACTGTGACTTCCTGGTGAAAGTGGGCACAGTCACAATGGGGCCCAGTGCCCGGGGCATCTCTGTGGAGGTAAGACCTTGGGGAACTAGAAGCAGGAGGTACTGGGGGTGCTGCTTAGCAAAAGGCTCTCAAAGTTCCCCAGCCTTGCTCAATTCGAACAGGCTCCAGTGCGTGCTGCAGTCCTGGGGATTGAACCAGTGGTGCTCTACTATTGAGTTTTCTTAATTTTTTGAGACAAGGTCTCATTAAATTGTCTAGGCTGGCCTTGGACTTGGTATCGTCCTGCTTCTACTTCCTTTGTCACTGGGATCATAGGCACGGGCTACCACACCTGGCCTCTTATCCTTTCTTCAATCATTCATTTAATTGCTAGCCCAGAGAGGAAGTGAAAAGCAGCTTTACAGCAAATAGTAAGCTTAGACAGGCTGACTTTTTTAAAATTCAGGAGTAGGATTTGTTCAATGTGAAGAATTGAAACAGAACTCTCGCAGGGGCAAGAGGGGACCTGATAGCAGGTTGCCATGGACAGGCTGACTTTCTAGAGAAGGAAAGGAATGGTTGAGGGAGGCAGGTAAGCTTTTTTTTAAAGCCTTTTTTAAAAAATATTTTTTTAGTTGTAGTTGGACACAATACATTTGTTTTATTTATTTTTCTGTGGTGCTGAGGATTGAACCCAGCGCCTCGCATGTGCTAGGTGAGCGCTCTACTGCTGAGCCACAGCCTTGCCCCGGCAATCGAGTTTTGATGTGGAGAGAGCAACACCTCTCCCATGAAGGACTGGGACGGACCAGTGTAACATTCAGAACAACTTTTGGGATGTGGGCCTCAATCACATGCGTACACACACGTCTCCTTAGTATGCTTTGAGAAAAGACTCCAAAGTCACAAAGTAAAAGTGTACCTTTCCTTTTGGCATACTGTTTTTTTTTTTTTTTTTAAATATATATTTATTCTTAAGTTTTGGGTGGACACAATATCTTTCTTTTACATTTATGTGGTGCTGATGATTGAACCCTGTGCCTCGTGTATGCTAGGCAAGCACTCTACCACTGAGTCACAATTCTAACCCCCTGTTTTGTATCATGGTAGAAAAAGGTACATTTGTGAGATGACTTCTAATTCTTTTTTTTTTTTAAGTTATACATGGATACAATTGATCTTTATTTTGTTTATTTATTTACTTTTTATGTGGTGCTGAAGATCAAACTTGGTGTCACATGTGCGAGGCAAGCGCTCTGCCACTGAGCCACAACCCTAGCCCCATGATTTCATTTTTGAGCCAAAATATTAGAAATGGCAGAGAGAAAGTGTGGCGGTAGCTGGCTCTGGGAACAGTGAAAGTCCACAACTTACCGTGTGCCCAGTGCTGTATGAGATTTAAAAAAAAACAAGCTTACTGGGCCTGTCTTTCAAAACTGTATCATTTTAAGAGAGCAAGGCTAAATATACAAGCTGTTTTTGAAAATAGACTAAGAAATGCCTTCTAAAAGGCACCATGTACTTTGGGAACTCAAGCTAGTGAGAGCCCTGCCTACTGTGGTCATGATGCTGCCTGGAGGAGCAGCTTATAAGTAGGGACTGAATATGTCCAGATCTGGGGTCAGGTGAGTCTAGGCATCATCCCAGGTGCAGAAAAAGCCCCTGGAGTGGTAGTTTCTGCTTGGGAACTTCTAGGGCCAAGATTTCTCCACCCTGCTCAGTTTGTGACAGACTTTGACTTGCTGAGACTCATGAGACTGGTTATCCTCCACATTTCCAGCTTCACAGCACATGTACATCCACCTGTTTCCTTACTTCTTTCTCCTTACAGTTGCCAGTGATTTTCCCCTCCCATCTCTCCAGTGAACATTAGGAGAGAGAATGAGAAAACCTGAGGTGTTTATTAGCCTTTGGCCCCTCTACGTTGGCTGGGAAAGTCTTTCTCAGTAGAGCTGGGCCTGGGTTACCTTGGGAGCCATGTTTGCTATTGAGGAGACTCATGTGTTGACTGCCTTCTACTTACCTCTCATCTACTTCCTGTCCCCCACATTTTTTTTCTATGTTGTCTCAGAATTTTCCTGAGATTTCCTTGAATCGTCACTTAACATAGCAGGGACTTCACAAACCTGAGATAATTAAAAGATTCCCTGCTTGTGGGCAGGGCTGTGGGTTCTCACAACTCCAGAATGAGAACGTGAGAAATTCCTAATGGGAATGCTGCTGAGTGCGTAGAAGCCCTTGTTTGGGGTGAGTGGACAGTACTGTGCTAGAAGTTGTGCCCTTGGCTTAGGGTTGGTGAAGATGGTAGGAGGGAATAGGAGGCATGAGGGAAGCAGACCTTGTCCTTGCCCCCACTCATCCTCACTCTGCTCTTTTCATTCCAGGTGGAATATGGCCCCTGTGTGGTGGCTAGTGACTGCTGGAACCTGCTCCTCGAGTTCCTCCAGAGCTTTCTAGGCAGCCACACACCAGGGGCTCCTGCAGTGTTCGGAAACAGACATGATGTGGTCTATGGCCCCGCAGATACCATGGTCCAGTACATGGAACTCTTCAACAAGATCCGCAAGCAGCAGCAGGTGCCGGTGGCAGGAATTCGTTAGTGACTGGCTATTGCTGGCTGAGTTGTCACCATGTGTACTGCACAGCAGGAGCAAGGGCTGTATTCTCAGGGATCTGGACCCTAGAAACCCAGGGCAGACATGGAAGCTTCTCTCCCTCTGGTTCCCAGCTGTGGTTTTTGTCTGGGGCTCTGGACTCCCCTCCCTTGACCCCCATATGCAGCCCTCGACAGCTGTCTTACCCAACACCTTGCTGGATTTGTTCTGTCCTCAAGAATGGTAATTATGAAGAATGGAGAAGTTTGGACCTTTCCTGCTATAGGGGAAAAGGTAGGACAGGGTGTCCTTGCCTAGTGTTGGAGGGAAAAACAATGTGTACCTTCAGCTGTTGAGGATTTGACCTTGGCCCAAGTGGCCATGCTGTGCTTCATGTTGGGCTGTGCTGTCCTGAAACCCCCTCCTCTGCTCTAGTGGAGGGACAGCACAGCTGGTAGGATGGCTCTCATTTTTTGACCTGTTCATGGAAGTGACTTGTGACATGGCTTTCCTAGGGCATTGCCTGGGTTCTTTGAACTCTCCTCTTACATCTTTCCCTTCCGTTGTGGATTACATGATGCAACAGAATTCACTACTGTGCAGAACCAGAAGGATGGGTTCTTACGAGATAAACCTATTTTTCTATTATCTAATAGTTTCAGAGATAATCAGGTGGTTGGGCAGATCTAACTCTACAAAGTCACCAGGAACTCTTGTTTCCTTATGTCTTATTTTCCAGCCACCCCCAGAATATTATCCTTAAGCAAACTCACTGGCCCCATGTCCACTGGAAGGATGGGGAAGGATGAAGAGAAAAGCAGTTTTTTTTTTAAAGGTTATGGTCTGGAATTGTTCAGATTACTGTGGCTACACTTTGCTAAAAGGGCTGCTAGGATATAGAGCCTTTTATCTGGGCAGTCATAGCCCAGTTACAGCTCAGAGGGTTCTGTGACTAAAAGGTGAAGGGGATAGGGATGATGGGACCCGTTTAGTGGTTTCTGCTACGTGAAGCTCAATGAACATGTCAGGAATGCTCTTGGCAGCTATTTCTTGATTATTACGCCCTGTAACAAAGGCATCTGCCTATGAGTTGGATTGGAGTAATGACTGATCCCATAGCCTCTTGGGGTTTATTGGAAGTTAGCTGTGCACCTCTCCAGCACTCAGAGGTTAGTATTGACCATGATATTTGCAGCATGCTTCACGGTTCCCTGAAGTCTTTGTACTTGCCTCATTTCAGCCCCAAGCTGCTCATTTGACTTAAACTGCTTGCCTACCCAACTCCTGCTAGAGAAATATTCAGCCAGGCTGGGCATGCTGACACATGTCTATTATCTCGGCAGCTTGAGAGGCTGAGGCAGGAAGATTGCAAGTTTGAGGCTAGTGAAACTCTGTCTTAAAAAATAAAAAAGGACTGGGATAGTAGCTTATTGATAAAGTACCTCTGGGATTGATTTCTAGTATCATAGGAAAAAAAAAAAAAGCTCAACCAGGCTACTTTGTGATACATAGATCTGGTCTTAGGAAAACTGTTAATATATGCACTATATAGGTTGTCACAAGGATTCTGTCCCTCCCTGAAGGCACTAAAGAAAAACTTTTTCTATGGTACATTTCCACAATAGGAGTCAGGTTACCAGTCCTGTTTCCTTGTAGTTTTGACTGACAGGAAGCTCAGTTCAGCTTTCTAGCTATAGGGTTGTCATTTATATTTTTTGTATCACTTCCTGTTTTTGTTGTTGTCCCCATTGATTTTTTTTTTTTTTTTGCTTTTAAAATTTTAAGGTATGTTTTAGGTATAATTTACATGCAATAAAATGTATAGATTTTATGTTTTTGGCTTTCTGGTTTATATTTGCTTTTGTCTGGATCTATTTGTAATTTTCTGTAGCTGCCTCAACTCTCGTATGAAATGAGACAATGTACAGGAGGATTTTGAATGCAGTGTGTTCCTGAGAATACAGAAGTTGAATGTGAGAAATGTGGACCCTACACATGCTGTATAAGAAGGGGCTTGGTTCCCTGAAGCTAAAAAATAGAATAAAATCCCTTCTTATACTTACACTGCCTTTTAGGCCTAGTCTTGGCTTTTACAGATCTAACATTCTTCTGTTGTGTTTTTTCCCCTTGTTGTTGAGCACACACTTGACCAGCTTTAAGTCCTGTGAATACCAGATCAAGCTTTAAGAACTGCCACTGGACACTTGTGTCCATCTTTGTCTTTTGTATCAGTGAAAGGAAATTCACCACTAAAATAAGCAGGTAATGCAATATATTTCTTAAATATCATAACAAATATGACTCCACGAACAAAGTCATCAATATTGAATTTATGAGTTGTAGGAAGGGCCCAGATGTCAATCTATATTTGCAAATCTGGATGGGGCTTTTAGATTAATTTAGAATGTACTTGCCAGTGTTCAATTTTTGAAAGGTTAGGTTGGATGAAAGTTTGAGACTATTTTGATAAATTTTATGGAGGAAAGCGCATAATTATCCCCACTTTATAAATGAAACTTAAACTCAGCTAGTAAAGGGAGATGCCATATTTGGGAGTTCAAATCTGATGTCTTCCTTCTAAACTAGATTATCTTCGCACCCCTCTTTCCTCTGCTTTACTTCAACCATTTCCTGAGTATGACCCCTAAAAGAACTAGGAAACTTACAGTCTTGTCAACATGTCACCTTTGTGAGTGCTTCTGCCAGAGCTGCATGGAAATCTGCCATCTTTGACTGCCAGAGCTGAGCAGGACAGCTTTTCAGCTCAACTTGTTTGTTCTCCCTTACCTTAGTGTGGGGAGGCTGTGGCTCCCCGAGAGGCCATGCAGAGACATGAAGGTGGCGTCAGGATCAAACTTCAGGCTCAGAACTCCTAGCTTCCAGCATGTGCCAAAGTGTGCCATCTGTGCCTCTTGGGATGCTAGGTGATTTTAGGTGGAATGTGGGAAATATTTTATACTAGGACTTATGTCTTATTCTAATGTATATGAAGAGAAAATTATAACTACCACTTTATTTTTTAGGATTTGGGTAAGTTTTTTTAAAGGGATTTCTTGTCTGTGGTGGTGCACGCCTGTAATCCCAGATACTTGGGTGGCCAAGGCAGGAAGATCCCAAGTTTGAGGCCAGCTCTTGCAAGTTAGTGAGGCTATCTGAAAATAAATTTTTAAAGTTTTTAAAGAAGTCTGGGGCTATAGCTTAGTGGTACAGCATTTGCTTAGTATGCCTGACATCCTGCGCTCAATTGCCAACACTACAAAAAACAAATGAATAAATAAATGATCTATTAAGTTATAGTACAGATGATACACGCCAGTGGCAAAATCTAGAGTGGCAGAGGCACATGCTGGGAAGGAAGCCTCTTATTTATTCTGACTCTGTCTAGTTTGTTTCCTCCGTCCATTGATGGTTCCTGCTCTGGCTATTGCTTTCTTGTTCTCTCATCCTGCTGATTCTCTACTCCTGTCCCCACACTGCCTCCTGCTGGCTTTCCTCTGATATTTGAGTGCCAAGCAATCACATCTCCCTTCTCCCCATGACCATTTATTGGAGTTTCTTTTCTGCTGACAGAATTACCTAGAGGCTGACCACTCCTCCTTGGCACCAGATCTACCTCGATCCAGATGTCCTGAGGCTTCTGGGGAGGCAGTTAGTGAAGTTTTGTTCTTTAAATCCCGGAGAGCAGCAAAGTAGTTAAAAAGTCCCCTCAAGCATGTGTTTCAGGTGTCAAAAGTTGAGACTCTTAAAATACAAGTACAGTATGTAATAGGCCATGGGGCCGGACATTTCAAGATCAGTCATAGAAGATGTTGAACCAGGCAGGTGGTCGTTTGGTCTCTCTCCCTCTAAGCCCATACCTCTAACACCCACCAATGCCTTTTCCTTGCCAAAAGCCCCCTCTCCACATCTGTGGAGGCTGGGTCTGGGGGCTATAGTCCCCAGTCACTGATGCATGAATGGCTGAGACCTGTTGTATTACAAATTGAGGCCTCTCCTGAGGGTTTGGAATCTTTGGCCTGTGAGCCCTCACTTTTGGGGTTGGGCTCTCCCCCAGGTGAGTTTCTGCCATTGTGTAGAGCACTCCCAAGTCTCTTGTTAAAATGCTCAAATCTTCCTTACACCAAGCCTCCCAGAAGTCAGGCTACCTGGGGTTGGCCTTGTCTAGGGAAATCCTTTCCCTGTGTATTTAATTCTTTTCTCTTTTATTCTGAGACAGAAAAAAACATATTTGTTTTTTCCCTCCTAGGTGGTGGAGAATGGATTATGTTTACTGAGGTCATTTATTAGTTCTTGTTGGAATACGAGAGGACTGTGACCCTAAAGCTGGGGTTCTTTTTTGTTTGTGTTGTGGATCAAACCCAGGGCCTTGTGTATGCTAAGCACATTTATTTATTTATTTTTTTTTTGCCTTCCTTTTTTTTTTTTTTTTTTTTTGCTAAGCACATTTTTTAAGACAGGATCTCATTATGTTGCCCAGGCTGGCCTTGATCCCTGAGGCTCAAGCCATCCTCTGGCCTCAGTCTCTAGCCTAGTCCTCAGTCTAAGACTACAGGCTGGTGCTGCTATACCTGGCTAAACAGGTTCTTAAGGAAACTGCAGGTTTTCAGCTCTGTGGATGTCAGACATAGAATCATGTGCATCTTCAGTTTTGGGGAATTGTCTTGCTGCTGCTGTTTGTGTTTGGTTGGGATGTTTAAGGTGGGAGATTATGGGGTCATTGCTGGGTATAATTTGCCGTTAACACAAAGAGTGCTTTTGTAATACAGAATGAATGTCCAGAGAAAGTATTTGTTGTAGGTGTATTTTTTGTAATTAGATCAAGCAGTTGTTTAGACCATCTTTGGAATATGGACATTTTTTTTTTTGTTGTTCCGGGGATTGAAACCAGGAGTGCTTTACCACTGAGCTCATCCCCAGTCTCTTTTTATTTTAAGACAGGTCTCACTAAGTTGTTGAGTTTTTCACTAAATTGATGAGGCTGGCCTCAAATTTATGATCCTCCTTCTTCAGCCTCCTGAGTCACTGGCATTACAGGTGTGCACCACTGGCTTGGAAATATGTTTTTAATAGTTATTCATAGTGATGAGGTCTTACTTGTTCTATATCCTGCAGGAAAAGAGGCTGGGCTTAAAAAATGTAGGATAAAAATAACTATATTTTCAGTGCGCAAGCTTAGTTCTGCCTGTCTTTTCAATGCCATGTGTATTATGATTATGTTGTTAACCAGTTGTGTCTTTAAAGAAAGTCTAGCATTCATGATTCTGATTCCTCATTAACTCTGAAGCTCCATTAAAACTTTTTGTCAGGTATTCCAAATAGTGCTTTCAGATTTGAATTAAAGTAGCTTCTTTCTATTATATCTGCCATCTAATTTATGATTCTCAAACTTATCAGTCTCAGGCTTCTTAATGTTCTTAAAAGGTGTTGTTTATGTAGGTTATATCTATTGATGTTTACCTTATTAAAAACATAAAAATTAAAATATTTATCATTTAAAAGTATCAACAAATCCATCTCGTTAATATATTTTTAATGAAACTTTACTATTTGTCCAAACTTTAATGAAGAGTTTATTCTATATTTTTGAAAATCTATTGCGAATGTGTGGCATGATAGAAGATAGGTGGATTCTCTTATCTGTTTTGGTTGAAGAATATGAAGAAAATGACCTCACACAAATGTATATTTGAGAAAAGGGAGGTATAAATTAATAATTTTTTCAGAAATTCTTTGATACTACATCTGCTAAAGCGTAGTTGCAATGTAAAATCAAGCTTTTCCTTCTCTATTAATATTCATTGGTTAAATTTACACTTTGAATGGATTTTTTACTTATGTGTGATTTCTTAGCATCATATGTAGGTCATTTGGGGAAAACTGCAGATCTAAATGTTGACACATTTCTTTAAGCAATATCAAAAATCACAATCATTAACATCACTACCTGTCTTATTAGGAAAGTCTTGGGAAGCTATCAAACTTATGGTGGCAGATTTGAGTTTTAAAAAATCCTAAATTTGGGGCTGGGGTTGTAGCTCAGTGCTTGCCTGGTACATGTGAGGCACTGGGCTTGATTCTCAGCACACGTATAAATAAAATAAAGGTATTATGTCCATCTGCAACTAAAACATATATATTAAAAATTCCTAAATTTTGCTTGAAATCTTGAGTTTTATTATTGCAGACACTGTTATTAGTCTTAGCTTTATCTAGAAGAAAATGTCTGTCAAATACCCAGTGAATAACTAAATAGTTAAATGAATAGTTTAATCTGTAAGCCCTTTTTTTAAAAAATTTTTTTTCCCTCAGCACTGGAGATTGAACTCAGGGGTGCTCACTCAGAGCCGTCCTTTTTATTTATTTATTTTTTAAGACAGGGCCTTGCTAAGTTTCTGAGGCCTGGAACTTGGGATCCTCTAGGCAGCAGGATTTTTACCCATTGTTACTTCTGTGTATTATCAATGCCAGGGTCATCCCAGGGAAAAAGGCATATACTTCTTACTATTATGAAAATAGTTTTGATCTCAGGGACCCACTAAAAGGATCTTCGGGATCCCTTGTGTTTACCAGGCCAGATTTAGACCCAGTGATCTACTGCATGCTCACAGCCCCGAAGACAAAATGCTATTGTGAGAGTACTCCTTCCATCAGAAGTTTCAAGTGGTCCCAAATTATTTCAAAAAAGTATCTTGTTAGGGAACTAACATACTGAGTGAAAATCTTCTCCAAGAGTTTTCTTGGATCGAGGAAGTCAGAGGAGAAAACACGATGAAGAAGTTATAACGTAGGAATTCCTTAAAGATAAGTGTTAAAAGGCAGTAGACAATAAAAGAAGTGCTACCTTGTGATTCTGAGCTTTTGAATCACATGACAAACACCCACCAAACCAAACCATTTCACATCCTCAACTGTCAAACCTCTTGGTTTCAGATATTGTAGTTTTCCCTTCTTTTTTTTTCTTTTCCTTTTCAGCTTTTTCGCTTCTGTGTCATTTATAGATGTGAAACCTTGAACCACTGTGGCTAATAATATGTACTTGCCTTTCTACTAAGTCTTTGCTGCCTTAGCCCTGTCTTGGGTCTAACACTGTTGGTCTCATTTTGTGTGACACCACTCCATCCCCTCCCCGCCCCGCCCCGGTAAATTCTGTCAGGACAATGCGCCCAGGAGACTGCGCAGGAAGGGTGCCTTTTATAGAACTGGCCGCTCTTTTCCCATCGTTTCCATCCCCATTCCTAAATCCATAAAGCCGCAACGCCCCTCCACTCCCGTCACGTTTTTGTACTGGGGATTGAACCCAGGGGCGCCTAAACACCGAGCCACAAACCCAGCTTTTTTAACTTTTTCTTTTTTAAATTTTGAAACAGGGTCTCGCTAAGTTGCTTAGGGCCTTACAGAATTGCTGAGAATGGCCTTGAACTTGCGATCCTCCTGCTTCAGCCTCCCAGCAGGACCACAACCATCTCTATCTGGATCTGCTTAATTTCTACCAGGGTGTTCAGGTTGGCGGCGTCTTCCTTGGGGGTATTTCCGTAAAACAGCTGAATCCCGCCTGGGTCATCAGTGGCAAAAGTCAGACACGTGCTCGCTCCTCTGGGAACCAATAGTAACTTTTGCAAAAGCTGCCTCCGGAAACCCCACGGTTCGCAGGCTGCTGCTTCTTTAGGAAGGGCACAGTTAAAAGATAACAAAACAAAAAACGCAAAGACGGGATATGAAGAAAGGCTTTGCCTCTGCAGTGGGGAGAGATGTTAAAGGGCAGCCGAAAAGAGTATGGGGAACTAACTCTACGTAAAATTCCTTTACTGCTCCCCGGGATGCAAGGCTGGGGAGAAGGGGGCGGAGAAGGGCTTGGGAGAATCTCTGGCCCTTTAAGGAGGAGGGACGGACAGTAGACTCTGTACCTTTAAGAGTCTCTTTGTCTGGAAACCTTATTTACCCTCCTGTGCTTCAACCAAACTTCGACCGGCGATTCACAGCGCTCCTCTACGCCGCCGCCCCTTACGCCAGGCTTGAGTCGGCCGCGCGTTTGTGGCTGACCCTAAACTTTACGCCGCCGGCACGAACCTGCAGAGAGGGTGCCGGTGCCGGGGTCGCGGCCCAACGCTGCGCCGTTGGCGCATTGCGGGGCTCAGGGGCGGGACTCAGGCGGGCGGGCCAATGGGCGGACAGTGGGCGGGGCCGAGCTCGGTTGTCTCGCGCCCTGGTGACAGCTCGCGCGTGCTGATGATGGCGGTAAATAGAGGGGGGCCGGGGAGGGGGCGGAGGAGGTGGGGAGGCAGCAAAGGGGGTAGCTCCAGGGGGTGGGGGACGGGGGCCGTGGAGGCCGCGACGGCCAGGGAGCCCACTCTGGGACTCGGAGGCGGGGACAGCAGTCTCCGGCACGCTAGCCCTCCCCCTTAAAGAAGCAAAATCCTCACACACCGGGTGAGGGGCGACAAAGGCGGCGTGCGCCTCGCGGGCGGGAGGAGCGGCGACAGGGGGCGGGACCGCGGCGCCTGCGGGCCGGGGGCGCCCGGGGCGGGGGCCGGCGGGAGGCGAGAGCTGGAGCCGGGGCGCGCGGGCGCTTTATTTTGGCGGGGTGGGCGACCACTGGGTTTGGGTTAAAAGCCTGAAGGGGAGAGGTGAAGCAAGGTTCGGGGGCGACCGGGCTGAGAATGAGATGAGGAGGATTAAGAGGAGAAAGGGTTAGAAAGCCAGGGAGAGGAGGAGTGAAAAAAGCCAGGCAAGGAGGTAGGAAAGAGGCAAAAGCCAGGGTGGGCGTTGAGGAAACCGGACCGGGAATGAGGTTAGGAGACCGGGGCTGGCAAGAGGGATTCTGGGGTTAGGAGCGAGATCGGGGGTCTGAAGGGGAAGGCTTTGAAGGGGTGGTATTGGGGTGAGGGGTCCAGGGGTAAGAGTTGAGAGTGGAAGACAAGGAGGGGCAGAGCTGGGGTAATAGTTGGGAGTAGGGGAGAGAGAGTGAATAAGAGCCAGACGTGACAAGGGTGTGAACTAGTGCAGAGCGATATGAGCTGAAGGGCTAGGACCCGCGGTGGGGTGGGAATGATTGGCGCGTTCTGAGAAAGGTATGGGTTAGTCGGTGGGAGATGGGTGTGAATTCTGGAAAGCGAGGGGCAGCTAATCACACCCTGGACTAGAACCAGGTGGAGTCGGGAATAAGCCCACTAGAAGGGTGAAAGGAAAGATGAGAGATGGGCGTTTATAGGGCAATTCCAAAGGACCAGAAAAACTGAAAGGAGACTAGAGTAAGGGTTTAAGAAGTGATGGTGATCCGGGACAGGATAGCCGGGGAATTGTGTTAATTGAAGAGGTTCAGCAAGATCCAAGGTAAAAATGCGGTGAAGAGACAGGACTAAAAGCAGACGGTGAGAGCAGTAAGAAAGAGATGGGCCCCAGGATTTAAAGAATAGAATAGGGATTAAGGAAAGAGAACCGGGTTAAAGGAAGCTGGGGGAGTCTGGATGGATGTACAACGCGGGTAGATTGCGATGGGAGGGAATTGAATGTATTTGGACCCGGGAGATGCTTCAGAAGGTCTGCTAGGGTCAGGGCACAAATTCTGTGGTGAAGGATCCAGTGTAGGGGCCCTTGGGTGCAGAAGAGGAGAAACCATGGTGAGTGAAAGGGGACCCAGAGACAGGGATAAAAACTGAAAAGGGCCAAGGTAGGGGGTGCAGGAAAGGAATTCTGTATTGAGAAGTGTGTGTTGAAAGTGTGAGTCCTTTTGTCCTTAAAAGTAGGAAATTCCAGAAACCTCTTTCTCTCTTAAAGGAATTTTGAATCCACTTCCACCTTTCATTGCTTTTAATTCAACTTTCATGTCCACTTTGAAAAAGATGAGACCCATTTTGATTTGATTTTCTTCTTGTGTGAAGGATAAAGTGTCAACTCTGGATACAGAAAATCTCTGCATTTCACTAATGCTGTGATAATGGGAGGATAGGTTGTGTTTATTTACAATGTGCCTGTGAAATGTGATAGTTTTGGTGTTGTAGCAGTGTTGTACCTGACAAGTGCTGGACGGGGTGCTTTATCGCCAGCATTTCCATTTTCACTGGAGAATGCACTATTGTTGGAATAGATAAACATGAGAATCTTTTTGTTTTCCAGTAATCAATCAGGTTTCTGCTTGTTTTCAGTGACTGGAGAATATTGAGAAATCATTTTATAGAGAGGCAGATAATCAACCTAGGAAGTTTACTGGGAAAGAGATTTAAACCAGGGCTTTGAGGGCATTGAGTGCCTAAGCTGCCTTTAGCTCTGTGTGGGACATTTCATACTCTGGTACACTGGTTTCACTAAATGAAAGGAAAGGAGAATTGCAGAGTTGTGGAGGATTTTAGAGTAGTGGAATTATCGTTTAGGTTAAACAATGAATTTATGAGTAATTTTTATACAAAAAAAATCTCTGCAAGATAATACTACAAACTGATGCCTTGGATAGCTCCACTGCCTGATTTTCTAGAAGTTTTGACTTGTAAAACACTTTTGGAAATTAAGAGGAAGATAAGAAATTTGGGACAAATTTGGGTTATAGTAT